GCATGTATACTTCGATTTACTGGCTTATCTGTTGTAATAACTGCTAAAAAACTGGGAAAATCCGAATGTTGGGTGGTAAAATGATCATGGAGTAATGAAGGTTTTGAAGGCAAGAAACGAAGGGGAAGACCAAGAGTCCCGAATAAAGCAGCTAAAATAGTTTTAAAGAAGGCTAGATACAAAATAGGAGACTCGACCAGGAAGCTCCCACATAAGCAAGCCAAATCCAGCGCAGGTTCATGAAAAGCGAACGAATATTTAAAATTGGAAGCCCCTGAGATGGTAAAACTGAAAAAAACCTCTACTTAATCTGCCAATTAACGCTCAGCTCGTCTCAAATGTTTCTGGAGAAGTACAAAAGCCTTGCTGTAGAAGGGGACCGGGATGATTATCTTTAGTAGATGAATGCCCAAAATATATATTTTGTTTCAGTTGCCGAAAGTGAACAAATATTGTTTGGGGGGTGGAGCTGGCTCCTGCGCACCAGGTGATAAAAAAGCTCAAAATGGATCATCTGTGGGTCTACACGCCGTGTCCCACACCATGCGGCAACGGCTACAGAATGTGATCAAAAAAAACAAAAAGGGCATGCCAGTTACTGAAATTCTGAACATATGTTCTCTTTAGAGAAATAAACATCTTCTAGAAAGTTCATGTAAAAACAAGTTTTGATAAAACATTATAGTGCAAGAAAAGAGGAACAAACTTTTGGGAGACCCTGTATTTAGCAAAATTTGAAAAAAATGGTGACGTTCTTAACCTACAGAATAGCTTTCCAGGCCGCCAGCTAAATGCCGCGTCACACAAAAGGCGGAAAATTCAAGCGCGGCTCTATTGCAAAATGAAGAACCCTTTCAAACCGAAAATTGTATAAATAAAGGTGTTTAGGTTCTGTTATACCTAAGGGCAGTAGAAACTCAGAAGAGTCGATAGTTTGTAAGTTTGAATTTTGGTGACGTCATGTGAAAACCGAGAAGTTGTAGTAAAAGCTGCACATCAGAACGTTTGATATCTCTGAGATTGAAAAACCAGCATAGATTGGACGATCAAGACAGAGAAAGATTTTGTCTTTAGACTGCTCCGATGTCGTGTGATGATCTTGAAATTAACAAATGATGGTGGTTTGGTCAGCTTCTTTAGTCTTCTCATTAGTTACCAATTCAATTTTCACTCTGCAACGCAGGTTTTCATCGTTTTTCCAACGCCCTCGTTGTGGAGTAGATTGAAAAAGTTCTTTTCAACTTCATTTACAGCTTGCTTTCTCTTCTCTACATTAGAAGCGATTTTATCTCTCCACCATGGAGACTGTTAAAAAGCCGATACACGGTGAACTTTGGAAAGGTTCATACCAAGTTCCAGGAAAAGTATTAAATTTTGGTCGGGTGGAAGGTAGTTTTCTCTGTCACCCAATTAGGAACCAATTTCTCCACTGGAGCTTCTTTGAAATTCAAAACTCACTTGACTTTTTGA